TGAATCTTCCTCGGTACCATGGCCTTCCAAGCTTTCTTATAAGAACTAGGCAAGATAACTAAAGTGCCCGGTACAAAGTGGGAAAGCTACTGAGGCCCATTCCTTCCATTCCCACCTTTCCTGGGTTAGCTCTGAGACAAATCATCAGACTCCAGGTGGCTGCTCTAAGTCCCACCCTGCAGCTCCTCCCCCGAGCACAGACACCACCCATACACCATGGATGTGCTGAGAGCACCAGTCCTTCAATCTCAGGTCCTCTATCAGGGATAAATTACAGGGAGATCGGGAATTGAGATACATCCATTTCACACCATGTTTCTCACAAGCAGAACACAATTTGGTGGTTAAAATCAGGAACCAGGCATTAAGGGACCATTTTAAAACTCTGCTTCTGAGATGGTTACACAGTATTTGAAACTCTCACTTCAGTTATAAAACACAGCCAAGTACATTTGCCATCTAGGAACCCTGCAGGGATGCTTGGTGGATTTGCAAATTGCTTTAGAGTAGTCAGACGAAAGGTGCCATAAATTTAAATCACTAATGTGAGAAGACACACCATGAGAAGGCACTCTCTTAACCTCCTGTGACCTAGTTTCTCTCCTAATCAGAAGCAAACACCCTTGAGGGGATTCCTCTGCAACTGAAGATCTTGAGATGCCTGTGTGGGATGGGGCTATCATATGCACAATCAATAATTTCATTCATAAATAACAAGAATTAGGTGCCGGAGAGGCTTTCTGCAAAAAAGCAAATGGCCACATATTTCCTGAGTCCAGTGGGGAAGATTAAAAAGAGATTTAAGAGAATATTTATCTCAAGTCTCTTACTTTTAAACCTTGAGAACAGATAATCTGTAGGTCTGAAAATCATTTCCAACAAGCTTTTATAATGACATCTTTAATTCTTATGAATAAATCTTAGGTGGTTTGGTGGGGGGAGAATCTACCCTTGATGTACATCCAACTTCCATCCATGAAGAACCATTCATAGAACCAGGGTGGGGGGTGTATTTTGTATTCACTGCTGAGAAGAAGAAGGGCTTTGAGAATACTGTTCCCAGAAGGAGCTTTGATTCTTCCTCAGGGCCACTGGTGGGATGCTCAGAATCCCTCTCAGAGGAGACCATGTTTAAAAGCCCAGCTAACCATAAACCTCATTTTCCCCTTGGCAGGGTCAACATTGAGAGCTGGTGCAGCAATTAAGAGAATTTCCCTTCTTGGAAGATGGTGGTGAACATGTAAGATCTAAAAATGACCAGGACTTCAGCTAAAGCAACTTCCTGGGGCTTGTTAATTATGTATGAGTAAATAAGACTATCAAGAAGGTCCATATGGCTGGCTTATCCATTCAGATATTCATTTATTCCATAAGTCATTTGGCTCATCCTCTGTGTCTCAGACCCTGGGGTAGGCCTAAACAGTTCAAAACACACTTGATTTCCCATTGGAATAATCAGCTGGAATTACCCAGATCTAAGAAAAGCCTTAAGTTGTGCCATGATCCCCTGAGATTTGTAAATGGGGCAAAACCTCATTCACAGCAGCAGGGGGCCCTAGTGGGCATGACATTTTCACACTGCTTCCGATGACAATCCTGAATTTTCTATAGGGGCTTTCACATTGGGTATGCTCTCCAGAGTAAAAAGTAAATGCTATGCTCTGAATGTGGCTTGCCCCTTCTGAAACTTCTGTTGAAATCTGGGTGTCTTTGTGAAGGTGTTGAGAGGTGGAGCTTAGGAGGTAATGAGAGGTTAAGAGGAAGTCCTGCTTTTCCCATGAGTGGAGGGTACCTATGAAGCAAGCTGCTGTGGAGGAAGCCACCCTGTGTCTTTGTCTTACATGTGCACTTACTTACTTACTTGTTCTGCCCCGAATTGCTATTTTATGATACAGTACAAAAGCCAGAAGCTGACAGTATGTTCTTGTACTTCTTAGTCCCCGGAACTATGTGTTCATTAGACTTTTTCTTTTATAAGCTACCCCCTCTCCGGTAGTCTGTCATAGCAACAGAACAGACTGAAGCAGAGGTGAGAAAAACTAGACTTCTCCTTTGTAGCTTAATGGCATGTTTCATCTATTAGACTCTCCCCCTGCCAATTTCCTGTGTCTAAGACTATAGAAGAAATTCAAGGGCTAGAGGTGTCATTCTTTACCTGTTCTGTAGCCAGTGTTGTTAAGATACACAGCAAAAGTCCTGGGCTCATGCATTGCTTGCCACGAGGGAGAAGAGCAGTTCTCGTTGTTGGTGTACACGTTGTGGTTATGCGCGTACTTCCCAGTGAGCATGGATGACCGGGAAGGGCAGCACATGGGTGTGGTCACAAAGGCATTGGTGAAGGTGGCCCCACCGTGTTCCATAATCTTCCTTGTTTTGTTCATGACTTGCAGAGACCCTGAAAAACACAGTTCTGGCATAGATTAGCAAGGTGCAGCCTGTGCTTGCTTGTTTATACACATCACTCAAGTAGCTCTGTTCCCTTGTTTATTCATTTCCTTCCCCTAATGTGAAGGAGTTTACGATTTGATCAGCTCCCATTTCAGAACATTTGGGATCCTACCATCTCATGTGTTCTATGGATAATAAGCACAGTTCAGCTTCTTCCCTTCTTGATCACAAAGGAGAGCGAAAAATCCAGGCTAATCATATAATTAAAGCTAGAATTTTAGATGCGGGGCAGACTCAACTGCCAGCAGCCTTTCGAAGATTATGGCTTGTTACAGAGAGTATCGGAACCCTGGCCCACCACACAGAAAAAGGGGAGTGTGGCACAGCGATGACCGGACAAGGTATTTTAATCCTGTGACAGAAAAAGAGAAAAACAAAACAAGACCCCTACTAAGTAAAAATCCCTCCAAATATCTGTATTTAACTTTTTAAAAGGGAAAGAGAAAGGGAGATATCTTCAGTGTAACTTGGCACCCTCTAGCAAGTTAACCATGAGGACAAGACCACCAGTTTATATTTGGTCAGTTTATATGGCATTTTAAAGGCTAGATTGCTTCCTCAAAGGTATGGCATGGTTGCAAAATAGTCCATTTTAACTTTAAGGATGAAATGGTAACATTAGATTGCTAAGAAAGAAAAAAAATCCATTTCGATTATTTTACCCAGCCAAACACTGCAGTTGAAATACGTCCAAACCTCACAGAAAGGCACAGGCCAGAATTCAATAGTCTTTTCAGGGCTTGTCAAGAAATGTACTACAGAGCACTGCAGCCCACCCATTGCATTTGAATCCTGGAGCTTCAGATTTCTAACAGGTCTCATTCCTTCCAAAGAAAAGGGAAGAAAGTGTATGGTTTCCAGTAAGGAAGGAAATAGGACTGCAAACAGGAAAGCAAAGGGAATCCAAAGTTAGCCTGATGGAGAGACGAGCAGGGGGAAGGTTTGTAGCTGGATCTCATTAGAGCTCCTTCAAATACGCTTTGGTGAGGGGTGCACCCAACATTCTCTCTTTTCTGCCGACCAAGCACCCTTCTGTAGTCTGTGTAAGCCATTTAGTGAGTGCCCGCTCTGCAGCCTCAGCTCTCCAGGCTGATCCCCCAAATGTAATATTAACAAAAGATACGAAAATTCTCTGATCTTCAGTAGTAAACTCTCTAGATGAGAACTGACATGTAGAGGTTGCTCAGGGATATTAGCAAAGCCACATATACATAAGAATGTGAACATAGCAGTAGCAGTACATGGATGTCAGGAGGAACTGGACTGAAGGCTTAACAAGAGCTCTGAGGTGAGAGATGAGGACATGACAGGGAAGGAGAAAGAAACTGCCAGATGGGTGCAGTGCGTCACTGGGAACATAGGGAGGACGGCTCGGGTGATGCTTTGACAGTGGGAAGGCTTTGGAGCCAAAGGAATAGCTCACTGATTTCCTGATGTGAAAAGGAATTGGACAGTTCTCCTGATGAGATGTGATGTGGGAAGCTAAGCAAATAGCTTGGAGGCTAGGCAGACATACTGGGATCTGATAGCCGCAAAATGAAGGCAGAGTGGAATGTTACAAGCATGAAGGACGGGGTGAGCAAAAGGGTTGTGAGAGGACTTGCTACAGTAGTGATGGCTTGTGGGTAGAGGAAGGCATGTGCCTGGTGCACCAGGGTGCAGCCAAGGGCTGCTGAAGCCACCTAGCCCTGGTGCACTATGACCTCGACATAGAATCCTAAAAGCAGATCCAAGCTATGTTGTAATGCACTGGAGAAGGCTGTGAGTTGAGTAACGGCTCAAAGTTTTCAACAGAAGAAAGCTGGAAAAGAAATGGTGTCAGTGGTGGGGAGGAAGAAGCCCAAAGGAACGCACCCCACAAAAGGCATTTCAGAAGGGCTGTGTGTCACATTTGTGTTAGGTGATTATAGCGAGGAAACATCCTGAAAAGGAATTGATGAATAGAGATGAAGATGTTCAAGACTTCTGAAGATGCCCGTTGGCCTCCTTATAATCAAGATATCAATAGAATAGATCTGGGCACTAAGAACTTGCACATCTAGCACGTCCACGTGGTGCTGAAGTTGTGTGCCAGTGGCCCACATTTGGAGAGGTTTTGAGGTTGGGAATTTGAGGCTGGACACAGAATCAAGGAATACAGTTGCTGAATTAGACCTTGGGGACTGTCCTCCTTGGAGACTGTCCTCCTTGGAGTGACCCAAGTGGCTTGGACTACTTCTAAGTCTGTAAGACACACTGCAGGACTTAATCTCACTCAACTCTCTTCTATGCAGTTTAAATGCATCAGCCCATTTGAATCTGATGGTAACCATTTGTGATAGGGCTCTCAGTGAGGATTCCTATGTTCCAGATGCTGCAGCTGAGCTATGCAGGGTTAAGGCACATGTTCAGGCCCACATGGAGCCTCAGGCACAGAGCCACAGGGCCCATACTCTTACATGTCTGCTAGCCTGCATACTGGCTGTGACAACTATGCTTTTGAGACCTTGAAACACAAACCAAGTCAGCTTGCCTGTTTCTGCAGTCTCATCTTCTGCTTCATTTGGCCTCCTTGAAGAGAGGCCAGCAGAGCCCAGTGTCTGGCTCCTCCCTCCACAAAGCCACAATTACTTTGTCAGCAGAGTCCTAGGTATGGGAATAGAGGCACAAACATCTGTCTTTGTGGTAGCTGCTTGGCTGCCTCTCATCGGGTGGACTCTGGATATATGCAGATGACTGAGTGCAGGAATCTGAGCTAGTGTGGTCCAAGAAGAAAAGCACCAAGCGCGCTCCTCCATTTTGGGGGGCGGGGTTCCCTATAGCGCCAGCTGGCCTGGAACTTGCAATGTACCCAGGCTGACCTCAATCTCAGAGAGATCCTCCTGTCTCTGCCTCTATTTGTTCTTATCATTATTCCCTGAACTATACCGTACAGCAGATATGAACATGGTGCTATACAGGGTAGAGGGTATTAGGAGGCAATTTAGAGTAAATGACAGGATGTGCATAGGCTATGTGTAAATCTAGTCCATTTTTATGTGAGATTTGAGTACCCACAGTTGGTATTTGTTGGAGTCCCCAAACCAGTCTCCACTGGATACCAATTTTCCTCTGTTCTCACCCACCCCTACCACATTAAGTCTCCTTCTATGTTTTCTCTCTGCTCTAAGATCTACATGAGAATTTAAGACTTAAAATGTTGATGTTGGATTGCAATTAAAAAGATCAATTCTGAGATTCTATGCCACAATCTCAACTAAAGCAGTGTTTTGTTTATTATTAGTGTGTGTGAAAGAGTCTGGTGCAGGTCACAGTCCCTGTGTGAAGGTCAGAGGACATTCTTTGGAAGTCGATGATCTTCTTCTACCACAGGTTCTGAGGACGGAACTCAGTTCATCAGGCTTTCCAGCAGGAGCTTTTACATGTTGAACCATCTTGCCAGTTCTTCAGTAGTGATGTTTTGGGTTTATTATTATTATTATTTTGAAGGCAGGGTCTCAGTATGTAGCCCTGGATGGCCTGGAACTCACTATGTAGACCACACTGGTCTCAATCTCACAGAGATCCACCTGCCTCTGCCTTCTGAGTGCTGCATATATTACCACACCTGTCCCTTCTGCAGTGTTTGAAATTATTCTGAGAATAGGGATCCAATGAAACCTAGGTGGTTAGTGGTACTGGTAGCAGCAAGTGTGAGGGCCCTGCTGACCGAGCTGCTTGGTGATAGGGAAGGTCCAGGCCACAGCTGAGCCCCACCACTGCCAAGAAATGTCATCTCAATGCCAGAGCTCCAGGTGGAGACTGGGAACATTGGCCATTGCTCCTGCAGGGTAGAGGATGCTGTGACAGTCAGCTGTACACTAAGATGCAGCATAGGTAAGCGGTGACTGGGAGACATGGAGATGCCTTTTGAGAATCCCCCCAAGGGGATTCAATTAGTGGAGCAAGAAACCAAGGTTCTAGTAAGAGTGCTTAGCTGGATTCAACAATAGGCTGGGGCTGGAGGGAGACACAGCAAGGAACTAACATCATTGTGCATATTCCAGTGACTTGAGTCCCAAACCATCTGTGTGAAAAATATCCTGACCAAAATCACATGGAGAACATGGATTACTCTGCTGACATGGTAGAGTTTAGTACGAGCTTTTCCAAACAGTTCCCCACCTATGCCACCTATGCAAATATCCTGGCATTTGATTATTCAGTATCTCACATTGAATTCCTATGTATATAAATTGTATGTGGAGGTCAGAGGACAGACTCGATTGTCATTCCTCGGATGCTATTTTTTTTGAGGCAGGGTCTCTTGCTGGCCTGGGGCTTGCCGAGTAGGCTAGGCTGGGTGTTCAGTGAGCCCCATCTGTCTCCATCTCCCCAGGGATGGGATTACAAGTATGCACGACTACACCTGACTTTAATTTTTTAAAAAATATTTTCTTTATTATTTTTATTTTATGTGTATTGCCTGCATATAGGGTAAGTGCACCCATGTTGTGCAATGCCCATGGAGGACAGAAGAGGTTGCTGGATCCTCTGGAACTGGAGTTACAAACGGTTGTTAACTGCCATGTGGGTGCTGGGATTCAAACCTGGATCTTCTGCAAGAACAACCAGTGTTCTTAAGTGCTGAGCCATCTTTCCAGGCCCAGTAGAAAAGTTTTTTTAATGTGGGTTCTGGGGATGGAACTCAGGTCCTCCAATTGAGCTATCACTCAGGCCCTCTCATATAAGTATAACATGGGTTTTTTTGTTTTTTTTTTTGTTTTGTTTTGTTTTGTTTTTTTTGGTCTTTTTGAGACAAGGTCTTCCTGTAGCTCCAGCTGGCCTGGAACTCACTATGTAGACTGCGTTGGCCTTGATCTCACATAGATCCGCCTGCCTCTGCCTCCCCAGTGCTGGGACTAAATGTATGTACCACAATGTCTGGCTTAATATGAAATATCAAGCTGTTTATCATGACAAGAAAAA